TTTTACTTTGAACTAAAAGCACATAGTTACATTCTGAAGTTACTGAAAAGGCATGTATGCAGTCTATAACAGCTACAACAGAGAGCACCCGAATAACCCTACATGAATTCAGTATCAAGTTACAATGCGGAGTGGTCTTCTCAAACAGCTTCATCTCCTTTGTTCGCACTGGCCAATTCTCTCAGAAACCTACGGTTCAACGTTTATAATATACATATTCGATCTTCGTGAGCACGGCGTAACCTCAAAGAGACTCCGCAGGGGATGCTTCCATCGGATCCTCTGTATAATGACAGGCATTCCGGCTCTCCGCCAGGTGATAGGCGCTACCGGTTGTAAACCATCTTTAGTTGAGGTACGGCCAACGTGCAGTCTCCATTCTTGCGCACGTGGCGTGCAACATCCGGTCGTTATCGCAGCCGCACTCTGCGCTGTTACACGCACTTCCGGTGTGGGATATAAAAATCATTCCATGAACTCCCCTCATGTTTGAAGAAGGCCGGAATTTCTGTCGAGTTCCAGTTAACGATTGCTGGCTGGCTATTGCAAAATGTTGATCATGGTTTTGAGAAGGTCAGAAATCGGGCGCCAATCAAATGAATGAAACGCGTTCCAAGCATTGCAGAAGTTGCATCAGCTGAGCCAGATGAATTCTTCAGCCTGTTCACCTGACTAGGCAGAGTTGGTTTCATTGCTTCTTGTTCAGAGATGAGTATTATCGTATAATCGATGAATAAACTATGCCAGACAACTTAATGAGACTTAAAATAGTTGAGCCCTGAGTTGCAGGCCAAATTGTTTTCCTGCCCAGCATTTTGTATTTTGCACAGTCAAAATTATTAAACTGGGCTATGGTGAGTTTTCAGGAATAAACTTGTAAAATTATCCACTATGTTGAATGTGGCTTTTAAATTTAAATCTTTATTGGCAGAGGGCACATATGTGCGTATTATACATTGCTCACAGAAGTTAATATGCAATTTGCATTTGCCAAAGTCCACTTACTCTTAAAGTACAAACGATTGAACTTTAGCGAACAGCGCTTACATCTGAGCTATAGACTTGACTTTATTTCGACGATGCTGTTTTCAGTTTGCCTCGCTGTTATTGTCAGAGCATAAATCATTAATTGCTGCTCAAGAGAAGACTGATAGCGGCAGCCACTGGAGCTGGCCGATTATTGGGAGAAAAATATGCAGCGATTTACGAACTTGCCCTAAACGTTGCGTATTTGTTGGCTATGACCATTATGTGGCATTTGTCGGTTTGCATAATTGACTATCGTCAACGTCACCACGATATGGGCATCGATTAGACGATGCTTAGGCTTGGGCAGAATCGCCATGGATCACTCTGATTTCAAGGATGAGGCCGTATGAATATGATTTCAAGCGGCAAGCGCAAACTTTACAAGTTATCTCCAACTGCCGAAACAAGACTAGTATTTCAATGCGATTTCATAGCAATATAATATGATATAGTGATAGGCAGCACAACGGCGCTATAATGGTGCTATAATGATATAATCATAGAATTCACAGCATCCCTGTGCTTAGCTAAGTTCTTAGTCAAACATTGAGATATGGTAGCTTTTATTGCGGTTTGAATATATGTGTTGATCTAATTATGCTGTTGCAAGCAATTGCTTGTCGGTTTCCGCAATGATTCCGGGTATCTTTTTGATTGTTATTTAATAACTGCAGATGGCATAAATGCAATTAAATAAAAATTTATAATTCACACATTGAAGGTAAGAAAACGGAAGAAAAAGAACGTTTGCCAGATGAAGGAGGGTAAAAAATTGAGATCTCAAGAAATGAAATGCCAACTAGAGAAACGTCATTCAGAATTGTCTTGTCGAGATATTCATTTCGCAACAACAGTTATCGAATTGCTTTCAAACTGCTCACTACGTTGCCGCAAGGATGCCTCGATTTGTTACGGTACGTTTCTGCAAATCACTTTCGTAGCAGTAGTATGGAACAAATGAAAGCCGACCAATGGCTCTAGTCTCAGGCAGTCTCTAACTAACTCATACGAGTGCGTTCAGATGGATCAGTGGCACAATAAACTGTAAGAGTGAGATGAGAATCAGCTATGGAAAAATGGAAGCGAATCGATGATTGATTTTGCTGCCTTGTACGACGATCATTTTTACGAACGAAACGTAAGAGCACTGCAAAGAACAACCGTGCATAATAATCCTGATCAGATATTGAACAAATACGTGGAAGGCATTTTTCGCAAAGCTTGATGCTGTTCAACGCTGGCTGGGGTTCGAAGCAAACTACTCTCCTAAACTTGACGTTTCCGTTGAGCGCTGAAAAATTAGTTGCAAAAGTTTCCTGTGCATATTAACTTACCAATAACTCAAAAGTAATCTTAATATTGTCCGGTTTTGGATGGAGAGCGAAAATGATCGTTCACTTTGTTTTCGCTGTCAGCCTTTGTGCAAGTCCAGCATAGTGAATCACAGCTGTTTGAAAGTCCAGCGATGACTGTTTCGCTATTGATAGTGAATAAAGTATGTGAACGCGGATTTGAGCTGTTGAAGCTTTCGAGTGAACACTGAAGAATCGACAGAACCCGTACCTGCGGCATATCATTGATTGTTTCACGTTCAATGAAGTGCCTTTCAATCAACGACTCGGTAATGAACGTAAAGAGCTATACGAGAAAATGCAAGCGATGCTCCAGTGAAAGACAGCGACATCAGAATTCATCACCATCCAGTATACAAACGGTTGAGGCTGTGCTCGAATCGAGAATCGACTCTCCAACGAACGGATGAGTGCTGAGTGCCAAGGACCAAGCGATGTTTCAGCGATGTTTCGATGACGCCTTATTTGCCGCAGCGGCGCGACAACCGCGCCGCGGTTACTGATCAGCACTCAATTACGGCGATGACGCCCAGAGGAGGTGTAACTCATTTTGGCGATGCGAACATGGCGGATTTCACTACACCGAGTAGACGACGACGAGTCAGCAGCCTCACTCGCCG